AAGATATCATTCACTGTTGAGCTAGACTAGAATCTTGGATTGTTTTAATGAGCCTTCTTGGGTGGAGATATCATCCACTGTTGAGCTAGACTAGAATATTGGATTGTTTTAATGAGCCTTCTTGGGTGGAGATATCATCCACTGTTGAGCTAGACTAGAATTTTGGAATGTTTTAATGAGCCTTCTTGGGTGGAGATATCATTCACTGTTGAGGTAGACTAGAATCTTCGATTGTTTAAATGAGCCATCTTTGGTGGAGATATCACCTACTGTTGAGCTAGACTAGAATCTTGGATTGTTTTAATGAGCCTTCTTGGGTGGAGATATCATTCACTGTTGAGGTAGACTAGAATCTTCGATTGTTTAAATGAGCCATCTTGGGTGGAGATATCACCTACTGTTGAGCTAGACTAGAATCTTGGATTGTTTTAATAAGCCTTCTTGGGTGTATTTCACGTAATATTTTAACCCTAGAGACTTACACTGTAATCATTATCGTTTAACTAGACCTTCGGGTAATCAACTCCTAGAGGATAATAATATGGAAATCAGGATATTTTAAACAAATTAACAAGTAAATTAAAAAATGATAAGGTGTTAGAAAGAACCAGAAGCAGCAGTGGCACTCGGTGACACTCTCGTTCTCAGCTGAGCAATGCGAAATGAACTCACGAAAGTGACCTGATGAAGGGGAGGAGGGCTATTCTATTAATTGATGTTCGTGTCTCGCTCAACAGGAGAAGGGCTATTCTATTAATTGATGTCCGTGTCTTGCTTACCAGGAGGAGGGCTATTCTATTAATTGATGTTCGTGTCTTGCTCAACAGGAGGAGGGCTATTCTATTAATTGATGTCCGTGTCTTGCTCACCAAGAGGAGGGCTATTCTACTAATTGATGTTTGTGTCTTGCTCAACACTAATGTAGCATGATTTCAAGAATATATAACAAAAAGCAAGTAGATACCTTAGATAAGTAGACGCACATTGAACTTATTTCTTCGGGATTAGTATATATTGTCAAATTTGGAATAGCTAACGTAAAGATCCCCCTGGCCGTTGTCGCTAGGTGCTCGCATTGAACATTCTATTCCAGCGTTCGATTCTTAACTTAGTGTTCATCATTTATGGACTTTATTCTAGCTGCAAATAATGGCGAAATAAGGGTTATTTTAAATGCCATTTAAAGCACTTTTTACAATTTTAGACAATCAAACTTTACCAAATTGTGCTCACTGAACTTAACGGTTCTTGAGTTACTAACTGAACAAAATCTTCAAAGCTTCTCAGTTAACGGATCTTGAGTTACTAATTGAACAAAATCTTCAAAGCTTATCAGTTAACGGTTCTCAAGTTACTAATTGAACAAAATCTTCAAAGCTTCACAGTTAACGGTTCTTCAGTTACTAATTGAAAAAATCTTCAAAGCTTCTCAGTTAACGGATCTTGAGTTACTAATTGAACAAAATCTTCAAACCTTCTCAGTTAACGGTTTTTGAGCTACTAATTGAAAAAATTCTTCTGTTAACGGTTCTTGAGTTACTAATTGAACAAAATCTTCAAAGTTCTCAGTTAACAGTTCTTGATTTGCTAATTAAACATAATCTTCAAAGCTTCTCAGTTAACGGTTCTTGAGTTACTAACTGAACGAAATCTTCAAAACTTCTCAATTAATGGATCTTGAGTTACTAATTGAACAAAATCTTCAAAGCTTCTCAGTTAACGGATCTTGAGTTACTAATTGGACAAAATCTTCAAAGCTTCCCAGTTAACGGTTCTTAAGTTACTAATTGAACAAAATCTTCAAAGCTTCTCAGTTAACGGATCTTGAGTTACTAATTGAACAAAATCTTCAAACCTTCTCAGTTAACGGTTTTTGAGCTACTAATTGAAAAAATTCTTCTGTTAACGGTTCTTGAGTTACTAATTGAACAAAATCTTCAAAGTTCTCAGTTAACAGTTCTTGATTTGCTAATTAAACATAATCTTCAAAGCTTCTCAGTTAACGGTTCTTGAGTTACTAACTGAACGAAATTCTTCAAAACTTCTCAATTAATGGATCTTGAGT